GGCTTTTAGTGAATCAGGTTCAGTGGCTCAATTATTTACAAAACTCTTAGGCTACTGATTCAGCAGCCATTAGAGGCTGTAGTAGCTGCTTAATAAAGCTCATTTATGTTCATTATTGCCTGTACAGGTTTGCACACAGTGCAGGAAAAAAAACTTACGCAGTTTTAATTCTACAAGTGAAACAAAACAAGCAACAAGAACCTGCAGACAAATGGATTCTTTTTATAAATCAAAAGAGATGATAGGCTTAATGTCAGATTTCTAGTTAAGAGAAATCCTCAGCATTTTTTTCTGCTGTTGATCAATATTCACTAAGCATTTGCTTTATATGAGCTTTAGGTGACTTAAAAACAATTTTCATGCGCTAAGTGATTTAAAATTTAGCTTCCATGAGCTGAGGTGACTTAACAGTAAAAATATTTTATTTCCTTAAAAAATGGATTTTTAAACATTTTAATGTATGATTAGAAAACATCACACAGCACAAATCTGAATGGAGCAATGAAAGTCACAAGCCCCAGGAGCAATCACAAGCCCCTGTGCCTCCTGCCATGCCTGGAAATGAGGCCCTTGCCTTGCTATGTCTGGCAAAGTGCAGCCCTCACGAGATGCTTTCCAAATGCCTCCCAAGCATCACAGCTGCGTAGAACAACTGTCAAAGTTCTGCTTTCGTTAACTTATTGACAAGAGTCAACTTGTCAGCTTTTAAAATGGCTTGTAGATGTGATTCCCCCTTTTTTGATGGGAATGTGAAAAGTGTGAGTTCCTGCCTTTCACAAAGAATCTTGTCAATGGTCTTGACTTCAACCAAACTGTTCCTCCCAGAAAAAAAAAAAAAATCAAAAACAGAACAAAACAGAAAACCCACCCTCAGGAGATGGGCCAAGCAGTGATTATTTCATCCTAATTATGTCTCTGGGAAACAGAAGTGGTGAAGCCAGGAGACAAGCCCCACCCCAGAAAGAGTTAAAAGGGAAGGGTGCCACTTGGCAATAGTCGAGAGGGCTTGAGTGCTGGTACCATGGGATCCTCGGCATCTTGCCAGGACAGAGTATTTTACTGAAACAGACAGAGGAACTTGGAATGGGCAATACGACACCAGCCACTATGTTTCCTTTGTGGAAATCATAGTGGACGAACAAAGAACAAGCTCCACCTGAGAAATAACGAGAGCATGATCAATACCCAAAATGTGCTCTAAAGAATTCTCTCTGAAGAGCCATACTTCAAGATCCCACCAGCCACACCTACCCGCACCTCCTGCTCAACTGAACAAGTTCACATCTTTCTTGGGCCAGTCATTCTAAAATATACTAATTCCTCCTCAACAATGAGTTCACTGTATTGTTGCGAACTTCCGTGTTTCCTTTTGGAGTCCATTAGAGCCTGTAAATCAGCTCATCCATCTTCTGAACTGTCACTGCCCTGGACACAGAAGGCCTGGAGGATGTGCTTACACAACACGCCGGTCGCTGTCAAAGTCGCTCAGAGATGGAAGGAAAATAAAACACGCCGGTAGGTCCTCTGTGCCTCTCATTGGGGTAATGGCTAATTGGTTACACCAAAACATACAACAAAGGGGGGTGGGGATTCACTAGTATTTTAAATGCAAAGATGAGCTATATATCTTTAATATGCACATAGTTACACACACACACATGCTCATATAAACACAGGAGGATTTTTTGGGGGGGTTGAAGGGATTATACGTAGCCAAAATGAAAAGTGACAAATGAGTGACGATTAGAACTTTTAGGCCTTAAGATACAGGATCTAAATGAAAGAACTGAATGTAAAGAACTTTTTTAAAAAAAGAAGTGTGTCATTAATAAATTGCCAACCTTGGAGACTGCCACATGTAGAACTTTTAAGAAAGTAGTCAAAGTACCTGCTATTTAGAATTTTTTTTTAAGTCAGTTGGGAAAGATTAAATCACTTCAAATTATGAAATGGCTGATGAAAAGAATTAAGTCAGGTTCTAATTGCAAGGTTGTACTAACATTTATATGTTTATTTAAAGGATGACCTTAAACTTGAAATGCCAGTGCATGCTAATCTGGTAAAATATGAAAGTAGACATTTTTTTTTCCACAAGTAGTTTTTTCTTCTATTTCTTCTTTTGAAAAAGGCTGATAAGACTTTGTGCCTTACTCAGCTAACAGTTCATGGTTTGGTGCAGTAGTGAGGCTCACTGCTGAGGGAGGATGGAGAAGGACAACACAGCTGGAACGGCTGCAGGGCTCAGCCTCGAGGAGGAGAGGGGAAGAACTCTGTGCAAGTGCTTGCCCATTTGGAGCTCACACCAGCGGCACTCTGCCAGTGATGGCCACAAGCTGGTCCTCCTAACACTGGACCATGACTCTGCCAGTGATGGCCACAAGCTGGTCCTCTGGACTCTGGGACCATGACTCTCCCAGTGATGGCCACAAGCTGGTCCTCCGGACTCTGGGACCATGACTCTCCCAGTGATGGCCACAAGCTGGTCCTCTGGACTCTGGGACCATGACTCTCCCAGTGATGGCCACAAGTTGGTCCTCCGGACTCTGGGACCATGACTCTCCCAGTGATGGCCACAAGCTGGTCCTCCGGACTCTGGGACCATGACTCTCCCAGTGATGGCCACAAGCTGGTCCTCCTAACACTGGACCATGACTCTGCCAGTGATGGCCACAAGCTGGTCCTCTGGACTCTGGGACCATGACTCTCCCAGTGATGGCCACAAGCTGGTCCTCCGGACTCTGGGACCATGACTCTGCCAGTGATGGCCACAAGCTGGTCCTCCTAACACTGGATCATGACTCTGCCAGTGATGGCCACAAGCTGGTCCTCCGGACTCTGGGACCATGACTCTCCCAGTGATGGCCACAAGCTGGTCCTCCGGACTCTGGGACCATGACTCTCCTAGGCTCACGGAAGATTTGCTATGTTGTTTCGCCTGTATCTGGGCTCCAGGCCGACATCGAAGGGAAAGAGTAGGCTCACAATAGGCAAACTCTTTAAAAAAAATCCAATGCTTAGTTATAGGCTGCCAATCACAGAGCTGAGAATATAAACATCAAACCAGCTACTGATAAAAAATGTTCTACTGTATACTGCCAGTCAAAATATGCTACGAAGTCATTCATCCAAAGCCACAAAACTCTCAATTTTCCTGAATCTGAAGCATGTTTAGATACACAGAAAGTTTCCAGGAGTGTGCCTAATGATTCTGAGGTAAGAAAAACAAACTTACAGTTTAATCTTTTAAAATTAAATGAAAACAAACTATAAGGCCTTTCCTATACAATGTATCTTAATTTTCCTCAAGTCATACATTAATGTGCAGTGAATTTAAAAGCATGTGAAACAAAAATAATTAAAGAATAAGTCCTTTAATACAATATTTCTAGAAACTTGCTCAATGTATTTTTCTGAACACTAGCAGATACAGAATGATTCTGTAAAAATTCTCTCCAAACCAACCTCTGCAGTTTCCCATTTACTAACAAAAAATTACAGCCCTATCCAATATGCATGCTAGAAATGATTAACACATTAAGAGGAACAAAATGAACAAAAATCTGCTAATTTGCAATTATATTTTCACACATTTTCATAATTAATTTCCAAGACTGGAGCTATATTTATACCTTTTTTAATAAAAATGAATGAATCTGTAATAATTGCACATTTCAATATGGCACATGAAACAATAACACACACCCTACATTTAACTCGTTTTAGGCTGAAGGTAACTCTACATCTTCAGACTCACATTGCAAATGTCAACATGTCTAGAACAATTCTAAACCATGCGTTAAGCTGCTTTTAGATGTGAGGATGCACTATGAATCATTTTAGCAATCTGAGAATGTTTGGCTTCTACATAGTTGTTCCTCACAGTTCATCTTTTGGGTGACTTCATCAGATGCAAGTGTGAGGTCTGATTAGGAGTGCAGTGCTGGGGCCAGAGGGCCACGGAGCTCAGCTGGGCCGTCCAGACAAAGGCTGGCCTGTCAGGTTACCCAGACCACAGGCCCAGCACAGATGAGGGCTGTGTGGTTTTGTGTTGTGTGTGTGTTGGGGGGGTAGTGCGGCGAGCAGGAGTCAGGAGGGACAGGACACATTTCCTGCTTCTAAAAGGGAGACAGAAGGCAGAGAGAGCACGAGAGGGAGAGACTCAGCCTCTAGTCTAGCTCTTGTCTAATAGTTGGGATGTTCAAAACCTGGTGTTGAACACAGAAGCAAACTACATCTAATTATGGGATGTGCTTTATAAAGTCTTTTATGTTCACAGATGCATAAAACAAGACCATATTTTAGTCATAGGGGTTAATGAAGCAGGGAGATCCATGAGAGCTTGTTTGAGGAGCAGGGAGTGGGGACAAAGTGGGAAACTCATGACAGAATTCAGTAGGAGCAGGTGGGCAGTGTTCGGATTCCTGCCTTCTTCCCCAGAAACACTGAGGAGGGAAAGGGGAAGAGCTCCCTTTCACGAATGGTTTCCCACAGTAACTTCAAACCTGCAGCAAAGACTGGAGGTATCTTCCTGCTGTGACTTTAAGTTGGCTGATTCTTCCTCCTGTTTTTCTGCCTTTTCTTTTGGTTTTAGAGAGATTCCATCTCAGTAGAGTAAAAGTTTCAAAATAACAAAAAGATGTATTCCTGGTATTCACTACTGATTTTCTAAATAAGGTTCACGACAATTTTGTTCATAACACTTGTAATTCATTGCATTTATGGGAAAAAATATGTCTGATCTTAATGTGTCTGGTGAATTTCCTTAGTGCCACGAATATTCAAATAAACTAATGCCTTAAAAATCCTCCCAAGCAAAACTGGTAAAAATCCCCTTGAAAATGTCAAATAAAAACAATCTACAAATAACAATTACCACATGTAGTTTTAAATAAAACATTTTAAAATGCTCTGTGTTAATTGCCTCCAATCACACACAAAATTTTTTAAATGGCATGATTATAAATACTATAAAATCACATTTAAAGTCATAGTCTACTTACTACTTGTATGTCTCAGAACGGATATATTCAAAAACATGGGAGACACCAAGCTGGAACTGGTCGGCAATTGGAGTAACCCAGGGATTGTTCTCTGCCTTAAACACTTGCTTCTGCCCAGTCAGATCCAAGTTTCCTGAAAAACAAACATGAAAAAAAAAAAAAAATTGAAGCCCCACTTCATGGAACACAGATTAGATCTGCAATGTACTCCTTAGTAACCACAGAAACATAAGCATGTCTGGGTCATTTGATTTCTTCTTAAAAAAAAAAAATCCTTACCCCCATTCCATTACTGATCTACAATAAGGTTAAGGACAATGCTCTGATCCAAAAAATGAAGAACAAAGAAAGGAAAAAGCAAGCTGGGAAGAAATGCTTTCCAGGTCTTTACTACACAGACTAAACAGCTTGCTCTAGATTTTAGAGAGTGAAAAATAGTGACCCCCTTGAAGTTCTATCTTGACAGTGTCAATTTACTTCATCACTTGTCCTGATTTAAGCCTAATTTGATCAAAACTACTTGTCAAGCACAGTAAAACCGGAATGCTGAAATAGAATATTATCCAAGTAAAATTATCATTGCATTACTCAAGTAGCATCAGCTTAGAATCAGCACTAAATGAATTTTACTAACATAGCAATGATAGACACTAACATCTGTGTAGTCCGGTCAATTTACAAACTGCCTTTTAAGTAATTTCTCTCATTCACTTCTCCAGCATTCCCTAAAGTCAGCTATTAACAGCATTTATGATAACAAAATCAAAATTTAGGGAACGAATTAACTTATAGATCAGCCAATGTCAGTGTGGGGTTTTGAACCTAAGGCTTCTGACTAGCAAACATGCATTCCTTCTACAGTTGTCTACTGAAGCTGTCAGGCTGTGTGTTAATCCACATCAATAAAGGTTGGGTAATAAAGGCAGCACAGAAAGCCAGCAAGAACCCCTCATCTGGATAACATTTATTGGACAACACTTCATTTGTATTTTTTTTTTAGCATATTCAAGGATGGAAAAGACAGAGCAGATATTCGATATAGAGTCAAGATTAAGCTTGAGGTGTGTACACCACATATCAGTGTGCCTGGCTTCCAATCTCAGCCCCACTCTAAAATCCAATTTCCTGCTAATGTGCACGTAGTGGGGCAGCCGGGGGTTGCATGAGTATGAGGGTCCTTGAGTCTGGGAGACCTGGATTGAGCGCCTGGCTCCTGCCTTTGGCCTGGCCCAGCCTCAGCTGTTGTGGGAACCTGGGGTCTGATAACAGCAGATAAGAGCTCTCTGTCTCTCACTCCATTCCTTTGTCTTTCAAATAAAAAGAAATATGTTTTAAATGTAAAAGGCAATGTACTGAAAGTGCTTCCGATGATGGACGTGCCTGTGAAAGACAGACAGGGACAGAGAAGCTATGCAACAGAGATGTGCATGTGTTTAGTTGGCAGCAAAATCACTGTGGGTCTTGCATCGAGCAAAGCCCATTTTCAAACTTTAGGTCCAAGCTCAAGGTATTTGAAACCAGACATCAGGAATTATTTTTCCCCAAACATACCAATGTTACAGATTTCTCCCAATCTGATACTCTCCTGCTGATTTTTCATACTGAATAACTAGAAGTAATCACAGCATACTCTGGGAATGAACATATGTCATGAAGCTGATTTGAGTTTTGGAAATGAAAGACTAAATGAAACCTTTTACTAGAAATATAATAAAATCGCTTTTTAAAATTTATTGATCTATTTATCCTATTTGAAAGATAAAATTCGAGAGAGGAGAAACAGAGATCTTTTAGCTGCTGGCTCACTCCCCAAATGGTTGCAGGAGCAGGAGCTGAGCCGATCAGAAGCCAGGAGGTTCTTTCGGGTCTCCTCCATGGATTCAGCACTCAGCCATCCTCTGCTGCTTTCCCAGGCCATAAACAGGGAGCTGAATTGGAAAGAGAGCAGCTGAGACACAATCTGGTGACCATATGGGAGACTTAGTCTACTATGCCACAACACTAGGGCTGGAACAGTTGTTAGAATGAAAGAATACTTTTCATCTTTCCTGTTTTAGTTATATGGACTTCTAGCTATTCAGGAAAAAATGGAGAGAATAGAAAATGATTACAACTTAAACAAAATGTTTATTAAAAAACAGATATCACTAAATATTAATAGAGTGCAATTCATCGTGATCTTTCCAAAACTATTAAAAGTATTTTGATGTTTAGTAGCAAAGGAAGCAGATACATTTCTAAGAATATCAATACTGTCAATTTCCTCATCTTAATGGTTAAACACTGTCCTATCAAGTCTCTTGGAAAGTTAATGAACCTGATTCTTCACAGCAAGAGTTAGAAGAGTGCCCAGGACAAATGGATAACTGAGGGCAGCACATTTTTATGTGCTGAGTATCCTGCCTGGGTTTGACTCTGCTGGCAAGAGGCTGCCACTGACTGCTCTTAGCGTTTAACTTGAGGAGGGTGTTTCAGCTTCCCAAGAACCAAACGGCCCTTCTGTTTGTATTTCTCCATCACTCTTACTCTCTCTTAGGAATGTCTCGCTCTGTCCTCTTTCCTATCACTCCCTCATTACTTTTTTTTCCTCCAATTTTCCATTCACTCTAAAAATGAATAGAATATAAACTTCTGGAAAAGAGTCATCTATTTAAGAGCATGTCTCTATACCATTTTATTTATTTATTTTCTATACCATTTTATAACTTTATGCACACAAGTCCTGTGCTGTCCACTGTTCTTAGGATGCGTGGCCACACACGGAAGGGCCTATATCCCAGGAAACGAACCATGGAGAACCAACTCACTAACATATTTAGGATGAGGGTGGCAGAGGTGAACAGCCTTCTCAAAATATTCACCTAAGAAATAATCCTAGCTGATATGTTATCTTTCTGCCTCTAGACCCTGCCCCCTAACTCAGCATGGAAAAGTATAAAAAAAAAAATTATACCTGTGGGAAAATACATGTTTTACAAAGTAGAAAACAATAAAAATACATAAATAAAGCAAGCAAGCAAGCCATGAAAATTCATGAAATCAGAAAGCATTTCCTAAATGAAGGAGAGTTCCCTGTGAATGACTAAATTCTGCCCTGAGCATTTCATTCTCCTGCCTTGACACTGGTCATGTGACCGAGGAAAGCAGTCTGGATTTCTAGGTGCTGGAATTCAATTCTGATGAGCAAGTGTCTGAAGTTTCCGCCATTCACACATCATCACAAATGCACTCAACTAGACTGGTTTGTTCTTAACATCTGGTTCAGATGACAGTGGCAGGAATCCATGTTTTATTTCTTCTTCAACACTGGGCAGAAGGGCAAGAAGCGGAGGGGAAGTAGCTACCTAAGGACTAGAGAACATTTTAACCATGCAATATTTCTGGGTGCATGGTCAATTTGTAAACCACATAGGAGAGTGACAGGGAAGGCTGCCTGTCTCTAGGCTAGTTCACACGCTCCCTTCCCTGCAAGTTCCCAGGCTTGTCCCAGTAATAAAGCTGTACCAAGGTACTGGTAACATCAGGAACAAAGCAGGCATTCATAGCCCATCCTTGAACTTCCAGTAGAGATAACGCATGCTACTATCAACTACCCACAAACACACTTTGGAATATACCCAACCTCTTATTCATTTATTAACAGTTTCTTCCTAAGCTTGCTGTCTTTAGGGTTAATCCTCGGAAACAAATCTAAAGTTCTATGCTCTCTGGTGGCCACATGAGGAGGACATGTCTCTGTGTGGGAGAGAAAAATGCCAAGAAAGGTCAGCTCTGCCCTTCTGCTTAAAGTCTCAAACTCTCTGGAGATCTGTCAGTCTCAAGTGATGTCTCCATTTAGGTGCTGTCAGTGGAGACAGACGCAGCACAGGGCATTGCTAATGACATCTGCTAACTGGACCACTTAGGAGATCCTGCGTGTGAGCCAGACACACTCCCTAAAGGGAAAAGCAGTCTTATGTTGATGTCTGAAAGTCACGGTACACAGAAGGGGCCACAGGCATTCACGGGCGCCTTCATTCCCATCACTTCAAACCAGCTGCACATCATAGTTTAGCAAGGGGTACACTGCGCTCCCCATCCTCTCACTTCCTGACTTAGGCATCAAATAATGCTGCTACATCAAATTCATAGGTGCTTCACGGAACTGCATGAACTGGGGTGGCTAACAGAAAACAAAGGTTGAAGGGGAAAAAAGGAAACAATAGTTATTTGCTGGTTGCTCTTCCTTTTTAAACAAAGAACCCTGAGAGCCGTGTCTAATGTCCACAGCCACTCGTCAACAAGGAAACTATTGCAGCCAACCGAGATGGCAAGTGCACAAGAGCCAAGCTGAGCAATGCATCTCTGCAGTGTTAACTGGGGCCTGGGCTGAGCGGAAGTGATTTTGTTTTCAACTTTATGTCAACAGTGGATAACACAATTCCTGCCTGTAATCCTTCCACCAAGCTGTTTCTCTCTGGGTTCCCTTCCGCCTCCCCCTGCGCCAGCCTGGCATACAGCAATTTCAGAAGAGGGTTAATGTAATTAGAGTAAAGCGAGACCATTATCCTGTGTGAAAAGATGACACCCGTCTCACTTGGGTCTAGCAACAAGTTAGCACCGCCTCAGCCCAGCTCGTCTGTCAGCTGTCTGGGGTAGGTTCCCTTTGAAGCAATAACATGCAGGAAGCATCTCCCCCCGCTGTCAGTCAGCCTGCAGCCGCCCTGATGCTGCACGCTTCAGCGCTTCGCAGGAGGAGCCCTCACCCATCCCCTTTATTAGAAGGCTGAGCGGTGCTCTGGAGGTGTTCTAACAAGGATCAGGCAGCAGGATTAAGCACTGTGACAAAGTGGATCTAATAAGCTCGAAAGCGGTGCATCCGCAGACACGCTGGCTGGCTCCCTGACGCAGATCCTCACTTTGCTCACTCCTCAGCGGGAAGACGCAGGCCACTGGGGAAGCCAAGCAGCGCCGTGATTAGCGGTGACCCTCTGACCGACGCTGTATGAAGATCATCTATCACTCAGAGGCTTAGTCCGCAATTGCAAATTGGATTTTCCATTTTATTACCTGCAAAAGGACCACATATGCTTCCTTCCGGAGCCTCCAGGACAGCAGGCTCTGCTGTGGGACAGTAATTGTGCAAACACTAAA